ATGTATGTGTGACAAAATTTATACTTTATTAAATAATATAATGACGATTGTTATACATATTTGCTTTTTGTTATTCCATTCTCATGAAACACATGAATTAATGAAATTGCACATTATCACTTTTGAGCATGTTCCTCGGCTATTTTGTTTATAGCTGAACCGGCCTTAAACCAACTAATTTGATTTTCATTGAAAGTATGATTAACAGGAATGTCGACTTTTTCTCCAGATGATTTATGAAGTCTGAGCGTTAGTGGTTTTCCGGGAGTAAAAGTAGTTAATCCAATAATTGACACTTTGTCACTTGGGTCAATCTTATTATAATCTTCTGGGTTTGCGAATGTAAGTGGTAATAATCCCTGTTTTTTAAGATTTGTCTCATGGATTCTAGCAAACGACTTTACAACCACCGCTATTCCACCTAAATGGCGAACTTCCAAAGCTGCATGTTCTCGTGACGAACCTTCGCCGTAATTTTCGTCACCGACTACAATCCAACTTAAGCCTTTTGATTTATAATCGCGAGCAACGTTGGGAACGGCGTCATAATCTCCGGTGAGGATATTCTTCACCTTATTAACAGAGTCGTTTTCAGCGTTAACTGCGCCAATCAACATGTTATTTGAAATGTTGTCTAGGTGACCACGATATTTAAGCCAAGGTCCAGCCATGGAGATGTGATCTGTCGTGCATTTGCCTTTGACTTTAATCAAAATAGGTAAATTTTCAGGATCTTTACCATCCCACTTGGGGAACGGAGTCAACGCTTGAAGTCGGTGGCTTTTTGGATCAATTTTCACATCGACCGTGTGAAGTTCCTTTGCTGGAGCTTGATATAAATTCTCACCAGGATCGTAGCCACGAGGGGGGAGTTCATCGCCAGTTGGAGCTTCAAATTTAAAAGGTTTTCCGGTAGAATCCGTAAGAGTGTCAGTCATGGGATTGAACTTGAGATTACCCGCGAAAACCATCGCCGTTACAACATCAGGAGAAGTGACAAAAGCATGGGTGGCAGGATTTGCATCATTACGTCCAGTGAAATTTCTGTTATAAGAAGTTA